ATAATAAGTATTTATTATTATTTTATTATCACATACTTATGTTAAATTTTCTGTTATATTAATTGTTTATATCTAGCTACTTAGTGTGTGAGGAGTACTTTTCAAGCTGCCATATTAGACCAGAGAAATTAGCAGAAAAAAGCCTTTTTCGTAACACACTTGATACAGATATTTAACAACTGCTTTTGATTAATTTGGTGATAAGAAAATCTAAAAAACAAAATATATATATATATATATATATATATATATATATATATATATATATATATATATGTATACATATATATATATATATATATATATATATATATATATATATATATATATATATATATATATATATAAGACTAAATGGAATAAACTTGGGATGGGCTTCTTAGGCTCTAATTGAAACCATTCGTGTCACGAATTTGGATTTACTGTGGGTTCAATTGTAACACTGTCAAGCAATACTGGCATATTACCACACCCTGCAGGTATTTCTGACATTTTCGTGTCTTTAGAATCTAGGATTCTATCGTCACCTGTGTCGTTTCTCATATCATTTGCATGCGCAAATTTTATAACATCATTACTACATACCAGATAAGTACAGTAACTTAAAATTGTCATAATCTTACCTTTCTGCCATAATTTTGTTTGTTTGTTTTTAATTTAAACACGTTCATTAACCTTATACAAGGTATAACCATTGTTGATCGAAATCGATTAATGCTTACTATTATGGCAAGGTTTCAACATATTAAATCTAGTCCTAAGATGAACTTTAAAAATACTTACACTCGGTTGAAGAAGTTGTTCTATAATAGAATAAAAAATTTTGAATATTCTGAATAACTAATTGTTTATTAATCTGCTCCCTCTTAATAGCCAACAGAGCCTTTTCCAAATTTTTCTTTACTATTTGAATACTACGCTCCACAACACCATTACTTTAAAGTGGTACGGAGGTGTCCCCAATGGTTTTATTCCATTTGCTTGACAAAATGGCACCAATCCACAGGAATTGAAAGGAGGACCTTTGTCTGAGACTAATTCGACGGAAGACCAATTATAGTAAACATATCTCTTAATTTTGATATAGTCTGTGATGCATATGTGCCATTTGACATCTAACCATTTTGTCTGTAAAAGTTGTGTGGTGCTGATGGCCACAGACATAACTCCTTGTTTGAATTTGTGAAATTTTGACATTTATTGATAATGGTATGAAACAACACCATTATGTTGTTCATGAAATAAGTCTAAAACATTATCTTGTAACTTTTTTGGAATAACTACTCTATTTCCTAATAGGATGAAATTTTGTTCCATTAATAATTTAATAACAACAAATCCTTGTTTGTTTCATTCGCAATATGACAAGCATTTAAAGGTATTTGAACTACCAAGCTAAAAGAATACAATCAATCTGTAATTTTTGTATTTTTACCACAGGATAATCGTGATAAACCATCAGCATTATTAATTGCTGCCCCTTTTTTATACTGAATATCGTATTGATAACCCGACAGAGTGATAGTCCATCTTGTGAATCTTGCAGCCGCTGAAATTGGAATTCCTTTATTTTTGCCAACACTTTTAATATCGTCCTGCTGCTCTTGATTTGTGTTGTAAAATGTATACATTTCAGTAATAACTAACCGCTTTGAACTAAAATGTTCAGTTAGAACTCTTTTTAACTCCTCAAATGTCCTGAAAAAGTCTTTTAAGATACTGTAAACTTCTTCACCAATTAGAGTAATCAATAATGGAACTTCCTTGTCTTCTTTCACTACATTAGAAAAACCACTGCTCAAGTTTTTCTAGATAATACGTGACATCACTTTTAGCAGGATTGAATTGTTCAATGGCCCCAATTAACGACATTTTTCGACTTTTACATGGATTCTTTCTGTGACTTCGTAAATTCGTAACAAAATGGCGCAAACCGCATGTTGATAGCTTTTGTCGAACTCGAGATATGAAAAAAAAATGCATAAACATAAGTAAGTATAGTATTGACTCAACCTTTATTATAACTTAAAATTAAATACGTGAAAGATCATACAAATATCTCGATCATTAAAAATTAATGTCCAATTAAATGTTCAAATTGTTTTCCATCGTTGTCCACACAAAGATGTAATCTTTCGCGCGTACACATAACAGCTGCTTCAATCTCAGCTGTTGATATACTATTTATCGCGTTTTTAATGTGCTGTTTCATGTCGTCTCGCGTGGTTGGTCGAGTTTGGTACACTAAGTCCTTCAATATTTCCCACAGATAAAAGTCCAGACATGTTAAGTCTGGAGATCTAGCTGGCCATGAAAATATACTTCCCCTTCCAATCCATTTATTTGGATAACTTGCATACAAATATTATGCAGATTAACATCACCCGCACTATTAAACGTAGCTTCGTCTGTCCACAAAACCATTGACATGATATGCGGTTGTTCTTCTAGCAGACCTAATATTCAATTGCAGTAATCCAGCCTTGCATCAAAATCTCTCTCATGTAAAGCTTGGTGGAGAAATACATGTTAGGGATGCAGTCTAAAAAACAGAACAACAAATATTGGTGAAAAAGAAACCACTATATTTACCAAAATTCAACAAATCTTGGAAAATCCACAATTAATTCACAAGATGAATCGTGCATAAGTATTTTTAAGAAAAGGATAAAAGCGCCGTGTTGCCGTTTTTATCGGAATATTAAAATAAAAGTTGAATCTAAAGTTTAAAGGGAACTCCAAGTTTCTGACCTAAAAGTTCACTTTATAATATGAAAAACCAACCTGTGATGTTTTAAAATCCTTGGAACAGTAGTTTTGGATATGTTTAATTCTATACAGATTTGCCGACTACTTATATGTGGATTCTGTTGAATTAAAGCAAAAAACTTTGATTGAATTATCTTCGGTCATACCTCTACTACGTCGTTTAAAACAAGGACGATGAAAACTACCAGTTTCTCTTAATCTTCTTGCCTTTATTTCAAATACTTCTTTCCCATAATGTCTTTTGTCAGGATATCTTACAGAATATATACGTGAGGCAATAGCGGCATTTTGGTGACATTCGAAATAAACTCCAATCATACAATTCTGCATTTGATATACTCATCACGAATTATTAGTACTGATACTTAATTACTGATATTATCAATAATAATAGCTATTGAAATAAGTGCAATCTCCAATTAGAATTATAATAGAACACTTCTTAACAATGTTTTGACTGCTGTCAATAAATAAACAATATGAACTCCCCGTCAAATTTAATGTCGTAGCTTACTTAGTTTCGAAAAAAACTATTTTTAATCATATGAAATAACAATGGTCAAAATAGGTATCAAAATTAAGATTCTTCGGCTATAAAAAAATTTGAAAGTACCTACTGACTTATTTTTTAATTTAATTTATAATACAGGATGAGTCAATACTATATTTACTTACGTTTATGCGTTTTTATTCATATCTCGAATTCGACAAAAGCTATTAACATGCGGTTTGCACCATTTTGTTACGAATTTAATCCAGTTCCATTATAATTTACAATAAATAGGTGTTTCTATTAAACATTTTGAAGAAAAACAAATTTTAATTTTTTCTATTCGAAAGTACCCCCTACCTATGACAATTAAAACTAAATGCAATTATCTTATAGTAGATGTAAATTAACTCATCCACTCTCTTTCTAATGACACCAATTTCACCAAAATAAGAGTGGTGAAAGTATACACCCTTGTCGAACTCTAAGTATACTTACTTCCTCTGTCAGTTCTCCTTCGACTGTTATTCTTGCTTTCTGATTTTGATATAGATTCGATATAATTTGTAGATCTCTACTATCTATGTTTTTAGTCTTAAGAATACTTAAAAGCTTTCCATGTTGAACTCTGTCAAAACCTTTTTTAAAATTTATGAAGCAAGCATATATGTCCTGATTCATATCCAGACATCGTTGTGTCAGAACATTGACTCCTAATAATGCTTATCTAGTTTCTAGATCCTCTCTAAAACCATCTGTGAATCACTTATTTCTTGTACTAATTTCATGTGGATTCTATTATGTATGATTTTAAGGAAGGTTTTCAGTGGGTGGCTCATTAATGCAATTGTCCGATAATCATTGCAATCTTTAGCATTTGTGTTTTGGAATCGTTACAAAAGTAACCAGGAGAAACCATTCTTTGGGTATGTGTCTGTCTTGTATATGGAGTTAAAAAGGTCTACCAAGACATCAATGTTGTCTTCATCAATTATCTTCAATAGCTCAATTGGTATATTATTTGGTCCTGGATCTTTTCTACCTTTTGTGTGTTTTATGTCATAAATAACTTCTTCTTTCATTATTTCTGGTCCCGTGGTTTCTCCGTCAACTTCTAATTGTTTTTGGTCATAAAATAGTTGTACAATGTGTTCTTTCCATCTACATAATTTGTCTTGCGTTTTAGTTATAGTGGTACCATCTGCATTTGTTAATATTAACAAATTAATATTAAATTATAATATAACATATTAAGTTGCAAACAATTTTAGAAAAATTATTGATGAATTTAAAAGAAATCGATTTTTGAAGCTATTTTTGCAATAATTAAGCAACAAGTCAACAAAACTAACAAAAATCTCATTTAAAAGTATTTTCAGTAAAAAAATTTCAGTTTTCTACATAATTTGACTGTCTTCACCTTTAGTATTTAAAATCAAATAGTAATCTTATATTGTTTATATATTTTGTTTACTACATATTGTTATCACCACATTTATCAAAAGCAGTTGTTAGATAACTGTAACAGAGAGTGTCTAGAGAAAACCGTTACTTCTATAAGTTTTATTTTCTAGGTAAAGACTAAAGAACGGCAGCTTTGGAATGTCTATCGTTATATACAGTTAATATAATATACTTCTGTACTTTTTAAGTTTCTGTGTAAAAAGTGATACAAAATTATTGCAATACTAGTATGTGTTCTAAATTCTATATAATTGAATAAAGCCTTTTTTGAATGCAGATGGATGGACTACAGATGATCTGGTCTTCCTATGGAAGCAGGGTGATCCTGTACAAGTAGTTAAGAATTTACATTTACCAAGATTTACTTTAGAAAAATTTTTAACTGACTATTGTAACAGTAAAACGAATACAGGTAATGTAAACTTTTTGTTTCTCTATAGTTTTTACATGTATAAACTTCTCTAATTATTTATTTCGCATGTCGCAAAATAGTAGGGCAAAGAATATATCTATATACACTATACATTGAAAAAAAAACAAATAACATCAATTATAGGTATAATAGCCGAGGAATATCAAGATTACGTATCCAATCTATTTGGGATGTTGCTTCCAAAAAGTGCTCTCATGTTACTAGATATGCTCATAAACATAGATAGAGAATATACCTACTTTAGTGATTTAAGGCTCTTGTTTTTCTTCTCTAATCCATAACATGAAGAAACCAGATCCAAATCCCAGTACCTTCTTGTAAAAATCTTAAACTCATTCCCAATATCTTCACTAACTAACTACTTGCACAGACCAGCGTCGTAGGTTAGTAGCCAATTCCCTCGCATATGCTATCAAATAGAGAAGTAACCATATCAGTCTTCAGCAGCTCGAATTTGGTAGCATCTGCAAGGTCAAGAGCGAAGGTTGCTTAAAATTTTAGGACTATATTCTTTGGCTCCTAATAGAATATCTATTGAACCTGTTTTATTAAAATTTGGATCTGCCAGGACTAAGTTCCTATGGCTGCTTTCTATCTCCTTCTCCGGTAGATTTTTTGTTATTTTTCGTAGTACAAGTGCTTCGATCTTCATTTGAAATTCATTTTCGAAATGCGTCTCTAAGTTTAATGTTACGCTCCATTTCGACGTCCTTTGGTCTTCATTGCCAATTCCAGATATCTGAGCGTGGACAGCCTTTCTTTTTATTCCGAGACTTGTAACGGCCTGCTCCGTAATGAATGATGACTGCGAGCCTTGGTCAATCAATACTCTCATCAATTGTGAGCTTCCTTTTGAGTCTCTTACTCGTACTAATGCCGTTGCAAGTAGCACTTCTTCATTCTGATGACTTAAACAGCTCACGGTATTCTCTTGTCTCCTTGATGATCCGTCGTAACTGTTGTCACCTCTGGTCCCACTAGAATTGGGTCTATTTTGTGGACTTCTGTTTTCAGAAGTTCTTCTGTTGTCATACTGACCCGACCCACTAGAATTTCATCTATTTTGTGGCCTTCTGTTTTCAGAATTCCTTCTGTTATCTTTCTGACCTGACCCATTAGAATTTGGTCTATTTTGTGGCCTTCTGTTTTCAGAATTCCTTTTGTTATCATACTGGCCTTCTGACATGTCTAGTAATGAATGGTGCTGTCTACCACAGTATTTCAACCTCATTATGTATCATCTGAGCGACATATGCAGAGGCTCTGAATCGAAATTAAATCTCTCCCGTCATAGTACAATAATTATAAAAATAATTAGTTTGTAATAATTAGAGGTTAGTTGTACGGATTTTAGCTTATTCATTTCCAAATTGGAAATATCTTGGTGTTTAGATACAATAGGATGTCATTGAAGTAAAGAGCATTTCAATGTCCCATATCCCAATAATGCATATGGTGCTGTGAAGTTCGGTATCGACATAAGAGCACAACATTCTGGTACATTATTTACCAGGCCCATTGCTAAACATCTTAGAGCAGCAGCTGAAGATCTTCAAATGCTTCATTATGTTTTCTAAGTGATTTTCAGTTTGGCAACGGTGTTTTGCTAGCAAGGTGTAAGAGAAAAATTGTGCTAGTGTTATTACAAGGTAGTTCTTTTTCTTCTTCTTGTGCCTTGTGTTTCTCAGTTGCCTGTACTCTTCAATTCATTTGTAGAGTATCATTTTCAGCTGTTTAAAATATGGTGGTGTTTATTATTACACCACTCTCTTTCCTTGCAAAATTAGGTTGTAAATGTAATATTTGCTTCCCTTAAATATATATGGCCAGTGTGGAAATATTTTTTTTATTGATGTTGAGTATAGGTAAAAATTGAATGGTATGAAAACATCAAAAACGTAGACGATTGTAACAATGCACAAGATGACATATTAGGAAAAGTTTACAAAAAATAAGTTATAAATACATAAATACAGAACAGACAAAGTGGAGAATATTACGGAAGCCCATCAGAAGATTGGATCGTAATTAGTATTATAATCGTAATCATGATATTGGTCGATTATAAATACTTATAAATAACTTAATTTCTTAACTTGCATTATGATTAATTTTTAAGATCTTAAATTTGAGATTTAATATACGTGTTTTTTAGGTGAATACAGTTGTTTGAAAGTAGATCTACTATTCAAGCGAGAGTTTAGTTACTATTTAATCCAAATTTATATACCCTGTTGTATGCTTGTGATAGTATCTTGGGTATCCTTCTGGTTAGACCAAGGAGCTGTTCCAGCTCGTGTATCATTAGGTAAGTCATTTACTAAAAATTTGTCCATAGAAATTTTTTATTGTATATTTTGATACCATGGTTTGTTTTTTAACCAGGAGGAGTAAACTAAAAAGACAGATTTACATCCTAGAAAGCTACTAGAGAAGTCACCAAATACATCTTCTTTCTTGCTTGATTATGTCGGTCGATTCTAATCTACATCTAGTCAGAAGTTATTCAAATAATTGAATTCGCAACACCTAAAATTATCACCTTTAGTTAGTCTTCATTTTAACAATAACTTTTCTGTTCTGCAAAACTAACCTCTTGCCTGTTTTATTTTTGCTACCATGGCTGTTATTTTTATTCCTGGATTATCAATTTTTAATTTGTTTGTACCGGGTGGTCCAATAAGCCGATCTCTCGGCTATATATCAGAAACTATTCATGTTATAACTTTAGGAAAAAAAAATTCCTTAGTAAAAGTGGCCAAGAGAAATCGCTGGAAATAACTTTCAAGATTCTGGATTAACCGCTAGGGGGCGTAACCTGCGAAGAAAATTTTGAAAACCAGTTTTTTTGTTAAATATGTCCAATTATACCAAGTGTTAAATAAGTAAACTAGAAAGGGGCATAAATTCTGCACAAAATTGTTCAAGTACTTTTTTTTTATTTTTTTAAATAAAGGGTGGGGGAGAGTGGGAAAGTGTTTGTGGATAAATACCAAAGTAAAACTTTGGTTTGGATCAACCGATTTTAACAAAATTAGTGTCATTAGAAAGAGTATTAATGAATTAATTTACATCTATTATAAAATAATTGCATTTAGTTTTAATTGTCGTAGGTAGAGGGTACTTTCGAATAGAAAAAATTAAAATTTGTTTTTTTTTCAAAATTTTTAATGGAAACACCTATTTATTGTAAATTATAATGGAACTGGATTAAATTCGTAACAAAATGGCGCAAACCGCATGGTTATAGCTTTTATCGAACTCGAGATATGACCAAAAACGCATAAACATAAGTAAGTATAGTATTGACACACCCTGTATTATAAAATAAATTAAAAAATAAGTCAGTAGGTACTTTCAAAAATTTTTATAGTAGAAAACTCTTAATGTTTTTTCGAAACTAAGTAGGCTACCACAATGAATTTGACAGGGAGTTCATATTGTTTATTTATTGACAGCAGTCAAAATATTGTTAAGCAGTGTTATATGTATTATAATTTGAATTGAAAATTGCATTTTTTTCAATGGATATTAATATTGGTAATATTAGTAATTACTTATCAGTACTAATAATTCGTGATGAGTATATCAAATTGTATATGATTAGAGTTTATTTCGAATATCACCAAAATGGCGCTATTTTCTCACGTATATATTCTGTAAGATATCCTGGCAGGAGATATTGTGGCAAAGAAGTAGAGATTTCGGACTACTCATATGTGGATTCTGTTGAATTAAAGCAAGAATATTGATTGAATTATCTTCGGTCATAACTCTACTACGTCGTTTAAATCAAGGACGAAAAAAACTACCAGTTACTCTTAATCTTTTTGCCTTTCTTTCAAATACTTCTTTGCCATAATGTCTCCTGAAACGATGTATTACAAAATATATACGTGAGGCAATAGCGGCATTTTGGTGACATTCGAAATATACTCCAATCATATCATACAATTTGATATACTCATCACGAATTATTTGTACTGATAATTAATTACTAATATTACCAATATTAATATCTATTGAAAAAAGTGCAATCTTTAATTCGAATTATAATATAGCACTTCTTAACAACGTTTTGACTGCTGTCAATAAATAAACAATATGAACTCCCCGTCAAATTCATTGTCGTAGCCTACTTAGTTTCGAAAAAACTATTTTTTACAAAATAGGTATCAACATTAAGATTCTTCTGCTATAAAACAATTTGAAAATACCTGCTGACTTATTTTTTAATGTAATTTATAATACAGGGTGTGTCAATACTATACTTACTTATGTTTATGAGTTTTTATTCATATCTCGAGTTCAACAAAAGCTATTAACATGCGGTTTGCTCCATTTTGTTACGAATTTATTCCAGTTTCATTATAATTTACAATAAATAAGTGTTTCCATTAAAAATTTTGAAGAAAAACATATTTTAATTTTTTTTATTTGAAAGTCCCCTCTACCTACGACTATGAAAACTGAATGCAAGTATTTTATAGTAGATGTGAATTAATTCATCCACACTCTTTCTAATGACACTAATTTCATTAAAATCGGTTGGATCAAACCAAAGTTATAGGTATTTATCCACAAATACTTTCCCACTCTCCCCCACCCTTTATTTGAAAAAATAAAAAAAAAAGTACTTTTTTTTATTTTTTCCTAAAGTATAAAAAAAGGAATTTTTTTTTCCTAAAGTTATAACATGAATAGTTTCTGATATATAGCCGAGAGATCGGCTTATTGGACCATCCGGTACATGTTTATAATGCATTGTTTTTCATTTGTTGATAAATGACATAAATCTACTCGGCGTTTTTTAAGTGAAGAATAATAACCAGTAGTACGTGGCATTGAATCCATATTGTTATCTTGATAACACTAATATGTCGCTAAATAGTTCTGTAAAGAACTAAATCTAAAAATTAAAGGAATAACGCAGAAAATACAAAAAATTGATATAAAATATAAATTTTGAGTTTTTGAATTTAAAATTTCATAAATGTCATTAGTGTCAAAATGTCATAATTTGGTGGAGTAAACTTGCCTGCGGTTAAACCAATAACAAACAAGCATTACGCCGCGGTAAATTTAAGTTACTCCTCTTGGTTAAAAAACAAAACATAGTATCTTTGAATTCATTAAATACTCAAAATACGCTATTTACAAGTGACCATTGTCATCCATAATCTTACTATTAAACAGGTTGCAGTCTTTAAATAAATCAAACTAAAGCTTAATTCGTGAGTTAATTTAATTAAAACTTTAAATTTCTAAACGTATCAAAATTATATTTGAGTACAACCTGAAATCTAATCAAAAAAACCCTTGTTACGTTTATACTAGAATTGAATTACAAACAATTGCTGTCGTTAATCGTTACGCCTAGTAACATACTTTTAAAAAATGCCAGAATTACTTGATTCCTGTGTGATTAAATCATACAACGCAATATAAATACTCACAAGATTAAAAATAGTACTCTCAATTATAATATTAAATGTAAAACTTATATTGTTAATAAAATAACGCAAAAATAGGGTCAATAACTAGTAATAGGTAAACAGTTCAATGATATTCGAAGACAGGGCCATCTGATACGGCCAAAAACAGGTGGATATTCGAATGTATTGGAAAGGGATGTAGGTTGATGCTCTGAAAATCTCTTCTAGCCTCGTCGGCAAATAACCAGATGGTGAAAAAAAGGCGAAAGCTGACGACGAATCGTTTGTGATAAAAAAAAGGTCTGCAGTGGGAGTCTACATAAAAAAATTACTTTTTAAGATTGAAAGTAATTAAATAAACAGGGGTTGATATTTCTTACCACGAAAATGTGAGTTTTGCCATAATTAAACAAACGTAACTTTACGTCACTATGCATTTCGATGGAGACTAAGAACTGACCGAAGATAAGTCGTATCATTTCTTTTATAACTTCTGGCAAAGCTAATCATTAAGAGGCTATGATTAGATTGCCAATGCCAAACTGGGTAGAAAATTAAACGAAGAAGAAACTTAAATAGGAGATTTCTGGTATGGCCAGAGAAATGATAGAGGTGCTACTTTGATGAACTACCTAGAAGAAAAGCATCTATACGCAATGAACTCCTTTTACAAAAAGAAGCCCCAACTAAAATGGACATGGATCAGCCCTAATGGATCCACAAAAATTAGATCGACTACATGCTGTCCACGGAACGATATATCATTAAAGATGTAACAGTTCTTAGCATATTCACAACAAGAAGCGATCACAGGATGGTCAGAGAAAAAATTAGTATTGACGGTAACTATGAAATGAAAAGAAAAATAATTAGAAACTGGGATCTAGTAAATAGAAACAAACTAGGGCAATATAAAGAGATATACAAAGACCTACTAAAAGAACAACTTACCCAAAAATTAGACAGTGATGATAAAGATATAGACGAAATGGACAACATACTTACAGCAACGATGATTACATCAAGAAAAGAAATAGCTAAAAAGGATCTAAAAAAGAACAACTACATATCAACAGAAACAAAGAAGCTTATGGATTAAAGGAGGAAGCTGACAAAGAAGGCAAAAGGAAATCTATAGAATATGTAGAAATTAATAAAACAATAAGCAGAATTATAAAAGGAAATAAGAGAAAAGAACAAGAAATAAAAATAGAAGAACAGAAATATGAAACGCTTAAGACGGAAATTAGGTAAGTTTGAAATAAACAAAATAAAATATGTAAACGAAGTAGAAACAAACATTAAAGATGACATCATAAATATAATCCACCATTTCTTCTCAGAATTATATAAAACAAAAAACCACCACCTGGAACCACCAGAAGAAATTAAAGACCAACTTAAGGCTAAAATAAAAAATGTCAACTCAGAGCCACAGCCAGAAATAAGCAAATAAGAAATAAAGAAGGCATTAAAAGAAATGAAAAACAACAAATCGCCTGGAAAAAATAGAATAACAGCAGAAAAGCTGAAATATGGTGGAAAAGTGGTAATTAATACTCTACATTCCCTTTTTAACAAGATATTAATAGAAAAAAGAATCCCAAATAACTGAAACGAATCCTTAACCATTATCCTACACAAGAAAGCGGAAAAAGCAGATATAAAAAACTACCGTCCTATAACACTCTTCAATGGAATGCACAAACTCCTAACAAAAATTTTAACCAATAGATTGACGACAAAATTCGATGGATACCAGTCGAAAGAACAAGCAGGTTTTAGAAAGGGATTCCGCACAAGTGACCATTTACCAAGTATGAAAATACTTATAGAGCGAGTAAATGAATACCACTTTTCCTCTATATATGGC